CTGAACCAGTATATATCCACTGCAATGCTGTGAAATCTGGAACGTGACAAAAAAGGCCATATCTTCTTTATGCATAAAGAAAAAAAGGTTGCATCTGTCTTTTTGGCTAAAAAAGGACATATCTTCTTTATGGATAAAGAAAAAAAGGCCGCATCTGTCTTTTAGGCCTATAAAGGCCATATCTTTATGGCTAAAAAAAGGTCATATCTTTACTATCATAATGGCTGAAAACTCCGAAAAAGGTCGTATATATCTTTATGGCTAAAAAAGGTCACGTGGTCGTTGGGGACATCCGTTAAGAGGGAAACAATACAGAGAATGAAGATTAGCATGGCCCCTGCGCAATCATTGGTAATATCAGCCTTGGGCACTGGGCCCGTTAAAAAAAAAAAGAAAAGAAAAAAGATGACACTCATACATTGAGAAATGGTCCAAAAAAGGTCATACCTTTATGCGTAAAGGAGGTCATTTTATTGAAATTTATTCCTTTCTCAGCGTTCCTGCTAAGATCAACTGTATACTATCTGTTCTGATCAGTTAAATATCTGAAATCAGTGAAATGTACAAAAAAAAAAGGTCATATCTTTATGGCTATGCTCAATTTCTTTTTCCCCACTGTATGTCAGTGTAACTCGGTTTCTCATTTGTCGAAGTTGTCGGAGCTGTTCGTGAATGATGGGTGTGCACAGCACTGGGTCTGCATACACGTAGGTGATCGTTATCAATCTTTCTTTTTTTTTTTTTTTTTTTTTTGGGTGATTCCTATCAATCCTACTATCTCGGGCGCAGCCCCGCAGTTCCCTCGTTTGAGGCATTGTGGACTTGGGCTGGCTGCTAGGGGGTTCCCCATAATACTATAATTAGTAGCAGTGGTAAGTAGTGTAAGGTACTAGGTAGCTACTGTAGCGACAGTGTAGCCGCTAACCACTTACAGGCAGTACCATACTTGCAAGCAGACGGACCGGACGAGCGTCCAGTCCGGCCACGTGCGGCACCCTCCCCCCGGACCGGATGGACCCGGACCAGACCGGGGCGTCTTTTTTTTTGGGGGGGGGGGGKGGAAAGACCATTTCGTCAAAATGGATTTTTTGAACGAAATTGAAACTGAGTTTTTTGGCCGAAAACTCATCAAATTTTGTTGTTCCTGAGGGTCCAGCGTTTTACAAACGCTGGAACCCCTGGTTGTACATGGACCTAGCTTGAGACCAGGCACGTCCAGGCAGGACTGCCCGGAGGTACCTGGTCTCAAGCTAGGTCCATGTACAGCCAGGGGGTCCAGCGTTTTACAAACGCCGGACCCTCAGGAACAACAAATTTTGACGAGTTTTCGGCCAAAAAACTTGGGTTTCAATTTCGTTCAAAAAATAAAAGATGTCCATTTTGACGAAATGGCAGTTGTGGGGCATAACTGGTCGTCGGGCGCACATTCGTGCGCCGCATGGGTCCGGTCCAGCGGTCTGCCACACGTGCGGAACCGCCCGGACGGCGTCCGCTTGCAAGAATGGGCAGTACCGTTTTCTTTGCCCCGTAGGATCAGACCGGACCCGTGAGTCATAACTTGTTGAGGAGAAGAGGTAGATGTGCGGAGGCGGACAAAGCAAGCTATATACATGTAAGTAGCACAGTACTAAGACTATAGTGGTCAGACTATGTACTAGCAAGGGAAACAAGTAGAGACGCATAGTGTAGTACTAGGAGGACAGGATACGTGCTGGGCAGGCCGGAAAGGCAGGCGAAAACTGTCTCTTTGCGCAACAGCTTGGTACCGGATAGACGGACAAGCGGATTGTTGGGCCAGTGTGTGGAGACAAACTAGTGTGAAGGCACGCCAAAGTGAAAATTGGTCCCCGGCAGCCGCGTGCACGAGGGCAATGGGACTACGTGTTAGGACGGGCTTAGGTGAGTCAGCCCGTTTCCGGCTCAGCAAGTGCAGTCGTAAGGCCCACGTCAGGCTCGGGTTGTTGCATGTTCGATGTCTTTCCTGCAGAACGACCGACGTAGTGGAGCCACGCACGTGAACTAGGCAACGCTTACTAATATCAAGGGAAAGGCTGAGCAGTTGTCCGACATCCGTGGAGGTCAGTATGGTTGATGCAGGGGTGCCGCTCGCCCCTTGACAAGTGCTGGAACACAACCAGCCGAAATGCGTTGGGGTTTGCTCATGATGACAATACATGACTTATCTTTTGTGTACATGAGCGCTCAGTGTTGGCCTTGCTATCTGCTCCATCTACTTCCTCTCTCTCTCTCTCTCTCTCTCTCTCTCTCTCTCTCTCTCTCTCTCTCTCTCTCTCTCTCTCTCTCTCTCTCTCGTAATCCAACCGCTGCATCAACAACCATGAGGTGAGGCCTGTCAACCTAACAGGTGGATTGATTGTGACATAGTCAACAGACCATTCCTAAATAAGTATCCAACATCTCAGGCGGCAAGGGAGGAAGAGGGAG